CTTACAGCAACATACCCTGGCTTACAGCAACATACCCTGGCTTACAGCAACATACCCTGGCTTACAGCAACATACCCTGGCTTACAGCAACATACCCTGGCTTACAGCAACTTACCCTGGCTTACAGCAACATACCATGGCTTACAGCAACATACCATGGCTTACAGCAACATAGCCTGGCTTACAGCAACATACCCTGGCTTACAGCAACATACCCTGGCTTACAGCAACATACCCTGGCTTACAGCAACATACCCTGGCTTACAGCAACATACCCTGGCTTACAGCAACACACCCTGGCTTACAGCAACATACCCTGGCTTACAGCAACATACCCGGGCTCACAGCAACACACCCTGGCTTACAGCAAGGCACTCTGGCTTACAGCAAGGCACTCTGGCTTATAGCAACATACCCTGGCTTACAGCAACATACCCTGGCTTGCAGCAACATACCCTGGCTTACAGCAATTTACCCTGGCTTACAGCAACATACCCTGGCTTACAGCAACTTACCCTGGCTTACAGCAACATACCCTGGCTTACAGCAACATACCCTGGCTTACAGCAACATACCCTGGCTTACAGCAACTTACCCTGGCTTACAGCAACATACCCTGGCTTACAGCAACATACCCTGGCTTACAGCAATATACCCTGGCTTACAGCAACATACCCTGGCTTACAGCAACATAGCCTGGCTTACAGCAACATACCCTGGCTTACAGCAACATACCCTGGCTTACAGCAACATACCCTGGCTTACAGCAACATACCCTGGCTTACAGCAACATACCCTGGCTTACAGCAACATACCCTGGCTTACAGCAACATACCCTGGCTTACAGCAACATACCCTGGCTTACAGCAACATATCCTGGCTTACAGCAACATACCCTGGCTTACAGCAACATGCCCTGGCTTACAGCAACATACCCTGGCTTACAGCAACATACCCTGGCTTACAGCAACATACCGTGGCTTACAGCAACATACCCTGGCTTACAGCAACATACCCTGGCTTACAGCAACATACCCTGGCTTACAGCAACATACCCTGGCTTACAGCAACATACCCTGGCTTACAGCAACATACCCTGGCTTACAGCAACATACCCTGGCTTACAGCAACATACCCTGGTTTACAGCAACATACCCTGGCTTACAGCAACATACCCTGGCTTACAGCAACATACCCTGGCTTACAGCAACATACCCAGGCTTACAGCAACATACCCTGGCTTACAGCAACATACCCTGGCTTACTGCAACATACCCTGGCTTACAGCAACATACCCTGGCTTACAGCAACATATCCTAACTTAAAGCAACATACCCTGGCTTACAGCAACATACCCTGGCTTACAGCAACTTACCCTGGCTTACAGCAACATACCCTGGCTTACAGCAACATACCCTGGCTTACAGCAACATACCCTGGCTTACAGCAACATACCCTGGCTTACAGCAACATACCCTGGCTTACAGCAACATACCCTGGCTTACAGCAACATACCCTGGCTTACAGCAACATACCCTGGCTTACAGCAACACACCCTGGCTTACAGCAACATACCCTGGCTTACAGCAACATACCCTGGCTTACTGCAACATACCCTGGCTTACAGCAACATACCCTGGCTTACAGCAACATACCCTGGCTTACAGCAACATACCCTGGCTTACAGCAACATACCCTAGCTTACAGCAACATACCCTGGCTTACAGCAACATACCCTGGCTTACAGCAACATACCCTGGCTTACAGCAACATACCCTGGCTTACAGCAACATACCCTGGCTTACAGCAACATACCCTGGCTTACAGCAACATACCCTGGCTTACAGCAACATACCCTGGCTTACAGCAACATACCCTGGCTTACAGCAACATACTCTGGCTTACAGCAACATACCCTGGCTTACAGCAACATACCCTGGCTTACAGCAACATACCCTGGCTTACAGCAACATACCCTGGCTTACACCAATATACCCTGGCTTACACCAACATACCCTGGCTTACACCAACATACCCTGGCTTACACCAACATACCCTGGCTTACACCAACATACCCTGGCTTACACCAACATACCCTGGCTTACACCAACATACCCTGGCTTACACCAACTTACCCTGGCTTACAGCAACTTACCCTGGCTTACAGCAACTTACCCTGGCTTACAGCAACATACCCTGGCTTACAGCAACATACCCTGGCTTACAGCAACTTACCCTGGCTTACAGCAACATACCCTGGCTTACAGCAACATACACTGGCTTACAGCAACATACCCTGGCTTACAGCAACATACCCTGGCTTACAGCAACATACCCTGGCTTACAGCAACATACCCTGGCTTACAGCAACTTACCCTGGCTTACAGCAACATACTCTGGCTTACAGCAACTTACCCTGGCTTACAGCAACATACCCTGGCTTACAGCAACATACCCTGGCTTACAGCAACTTACCCTGGCTTACAGCAACATACTCTGGCTTACAGCAACTTACCCTGGCTTACAGCAACATACCCTGGCTTACAGCAACATACCCTGGCTTACAGCAACATACCCTGGCTTACACCAACATACCCTGGCTTACAGCAACATACCCTGGCTTACACCAACATACCCTGGCTTACACCAACATACCCTGGCTTACAGCAACATACCCTGGCTTACAGCAACATACCCTGGCTTACAGCAACTTACCCTGGCTTACAGCAACTTACCCTGGCTTACAGCAACATACCCTGGCTTACAGCAACATACCCCGGCTTACAGCAACATACCCTGGCTTACAGCAACATACCCTGGCTTACAGCAACATACCCTGGCTTACAGCAACATACCCTGGCTTACACCAACATACCCTGGCTTACACCAACATACCCTGGCTTACAGCAACATACCCTGGCTTACACCAACATACCCTGGCGTACAGCAACATACCCTGGCTTACAGCAACGTACCCTGGCTTACAGCAACTTACCCTGGCTAACAGCAACATACCCTGGCTTACAGCAACATACCCTAGCTTACAGCAACTTACCCTGGCTTACAGCAACATACCCTGGCTTACAGCAACATACCCTGGCTTACAGCAACATACCCTGGCTTACAGCAACATACCCTGGCTTACACCAACATACCCTGGCTTACACCAACATACCCTGGCTTACAGCAACATACCCTGGCTTACACCAACATACCCTGGCTTACACCAACATACCCTGGCTTACACCAACATACCCTGGCTTACACCAACATACCCTGGCTTACACCAACATACCCTGGTTTACAGCAACATACCCTGGCTTACACCAACATACCCTGGCTTACAGCAACATACCCTGGCTTACACCAACATACCCTGGCTTACACCAACATACCCTGGCTTACAGCAACATACCCTGGCTTACAGCAACATACCCTGGCTTACAGCAACATACCCTGGCTTACAGCAACATACCCTGGCTTACACCCAACATACCCTGGCTTACAGCAACATACCCTGGCTTACAGCAACATACCCTGGCTTACAGCAACATACCCTGGCTTACAGCAACATACCCTGGCTTACACCAACATACCCTGGCTTACAGCAACATACCCTGGCTTACAGCAACATACCCTGGCTTACAGCAACATACCCTGGCTTACAGCAACATACCCTGGCTTACAGCAACATACCCTGGCTTACACCAACATACCCTGGCTTACAGCAACATACCCTGGCTTACAGCAACATACCCTGGCTTACAGCAACATACCCTGGCTTACAGCAACATACCCTGGCTTACAGCAACATACCCTGGCTTACAGCAACATACCCTGGCTTACAGCAACATACCCTGGCTTACAGCAACATACCCTGGCTTACAGCAACATACCCTGACATGGCTTACACCAACATACCCTGGCTTACACCAACATACCCTGGCTTACAGCAACATACCCTGGCTTACAGCAACATACCCTGGCTTACAGCAACATACCCTGGCTTACAGCAACATACCCTGGCTTACAGCAACATACCCTGGCTCAAATCATAGATTAATGAAAATTTTTATAATAACATAATATACGACATTCAAAGCGCCCCAGAGTGATTATTATTATTATTATTATTATTATGTTATTTCTTCTTCAACACTACTGAAACACTCTTATCTGCTACCTCGCCTGGCGTAGCTACTGCTACGTACTTTGCAACAATGCCAAATAGCGATTTTAATGTACCTGTTAGCCAGCATAGTAAGTTTATTTATAGGCATATTATTATTATTATGATATTCATAACTAAGCGCTATACTAATAAGAGTTATTTAGGTACAGGCAGACATAAGTAAAATTATCAGTAGTGTCTCAGACATAAACGTACCTTGCACACTGAGTTTAATCATTTCTAACTTACGACCCTTCTTTTTATCATAACTACTCTTAGATGGAACACAAAGAGTATACATAAAATACGTAATAACTTTAAAACACTTAAAGCTTTGGAAAGTTTCCAGACATAATCGGGAGATGTGAAGTTCACGGAGAGTGGAAAAACACCAAGAATGGTTGGGTGACGTGTGGACGCTGTAATAGCGAATCAGGAGCCATATAAACGAATTTTTGGGTATAATTTGAAATGTCCATATTAGCAAAGTGCCGTAAAGTGGGACCCTTCTGTATGTCCTACGAGGAGAGGTACAGGGAAATCGTCCTGACAACACTAGAGGACAGGAGGGATTGGGAACACATCACAATTACGTATAAAATACTGAGAGAAATTGGAAAGGTGGATAGGGACAGAATGTTTCAGAGATGTGACACAGCAACAAGGGGTCACAACTGTTAGTTGAAAATTCAGACGAGTCACAGGGATGTTAGCTCATGGAGCAGGGAGAAAGTAGCGACCAGTGAAGAGGTTGGGCCTGGAGCTATGACTACCCTTGCAACCACAAATAGGTGAGTACAGTATAATGAAAATGAAATTGGGTATTTACATTGTATGCTGATCCTCTCTCCCTGTCAATTTCTTCGGTTACTCTGATAACATAAATGGCATGCGAACTGGAAGTGCCATAACCTTCCTTAATTTGGAATGATCGCTTCTGCCCTTCACCTGAAACAGAAGAGTTAATAACATTATTGATACAGCAAAGGCGCCTTAGTGTATAAATTAGTAAAGACTGTCATGTAAATGATCGAGTGTGAGCCTACCAGTCACATATCTCAGGTTCTGAACGATACACATCTCCAGATCACACAGATCAGGTAGACTATACAGGTCCAGGATGTCACAGAGGCTTCATAACAACTTAACCATATACAAACACACGCGCGCGCGTATCGACATCAAGATAGGAGTCATTCAAGACACTGTACACCGTGTACGTCAGGCTCATATTGGAGAATGCAGCACCAGTATCGAACCCACCCATGATAAAACACGTCAAGGAATTAGAGAAAGTGCAAAGGTTTGCAATAAGACTAGTCCCGGAGCTAAAGGGCATGTCCTACAAGGAGAGATTAATTGAAGTGAACCTGGCGACACTGGAGGACAGGAGGGATCGAGGAGACAAAGTGGACAGGGTTAGAATGTTTCAGAGATTGGACACAGGAACACGGGGTCACAGTTGGAAGTTGAAAACTCAGATGAGTCACAGGGATATTAGAAAGTAATTCTTCAGTCACAGAGTTGTCAGGAAGTGGAACAATCTAGAGAGTAATGTAGTGGAGGCAGGATTCATACATAGTTTTAAAAAAGAGATGATAAAGCTCATGGAAAAGGGAAAGAGTGGACCTAGTGGACTCGACCTCTGCAACCACAACTAGGTTAGTACACAAACGCACACACATACACATTTTCTTGGACTGCAAGGAGACCATCGACACAGCTCCTCACAAGAGGTTAATGGAAAAGCTAGAGGATCAGGCACACATAACAGGAAAGGCACTGCAATGGATCAGAGAATATTGACAGGGAGGCATCAACGAGTCATGGAACATGACGAGGTGTCAGAATGGGCGCCTGTGACAAGCGTGGTTCCACAGGGGTCAGTCCTAGGACCTGTGCTCTTTTTGGTATATGTGAATAACATAACGGAAGGGATAGACTCAGAAGTGTTCTTGTTTGCAGATGATGTGAAGTTAATGAGGAGAATCAAATCGGTCGAGGATCAGGTAGGACTACGAAGAGACCTGGACAGGCTACAAGCCTGGGCCAGCAACTGGATCCTGGAATTTAGCCCTGCTGAATGCAAAGTCATGAAGATCGGGGAAGGGCAACGAAGACCGCAGAGTATAGTCTAGGTGGCCAAAAGACTGCAAACCTCAATCAAGGAAAAAGATCTGGAGATGAGTATAATACCGAACACATCTCCTGAGGCTCACATCAGTCAGGTAACTGTTGCAGCGTATGGGCGTCTGGCAAACCTAAGGATAGCATTCCGATACCTTAGTAAGGAATCGTTCAAGACTCTGTACACCATATACGTCAGGCCCATACTGGAGTAAGCAGCACCAGCTTGGAATCCGCACCTGGTCAAGCACGTCAACAAATTAGAGAAAGTGCAAAGGTTTGCAACAAGACTAGTCCCAGAGCTAAGGGGATTGTCCTACGAAGCAAGGTTAAGGGAAATTGGCCTGACAACAATGGAGGACAGGAGGGTCAGGGAAGACATGATAACGACATATAAAATACTGCAAGGAATAGACAAGGTGGACAAAGACAGGATGTTCCAGAGATGGGACACAGAAACAAGGGGTCACAATTGGAAGTTGAAGACCCCTATGAGTCAAAGGGATGTTAGGAAATATTTCTTCAGTCATAGATTAGTCAGGAAGTGGAATAGCCTAGAAAGTGACGTAGTGGAGGCGGGAACCATACATAGTTTTAAGATGAGGTATGATAAAGCTCATGGATTAGGGAGGGAGAGGACCTACTAGCAATCAGCGAAGAGGCGAGGCCAGGAGCTATGAATCGACCCCTGCAACCACAAATAGGTGAATACACAGGCCAAGTGTCTTAACAAGTGCCCTTCAAAAAACTATTTTGTGATTATGTGTGAGTGAGGTGAAAGTATTTTCTTTATGGGGATTTTCTTTCTTTTTTGGGTCACCCTGCCTCGGTGGGAGACGGCCGACTTGTTGAAAAAAAATATATATATAAAATACAATATGCACAAGGTTGCTTATAGGTCATCATACCATCAGTTGCTCCATCAACTGTTGATGCATCATAATCAATCTCCACAGTGACTTGGCTGTTTTCATTATCGTCTTCATCAGTCACTGAAATCTTCAACAAGACTGTGTCTCCAGTGTCGCTCCGGCAGCCTATTGCGTCGCCGCTCTTCACCTCATTCTGAAATGAAACCCAGAGAGATGAAACACTTGAAGTGTTAGCTAAGCGGATAATGGTTGATCCATGGAGGCCAGGGTGGAGGCCAGGGTGGAGGCCAGGGTGGTGACCAGGGTGGTGACCAGGGTGGTGACCAGGGTGGTGACCAGGGTGGAGGCCAGGGTGGTGACCAGGGTAGAGGCCAGGGTGGAGGCCAGGGTGGAGGCCAGGGTGGAGGCCAGGGTGGAGGCCAGGGTGGAGGCCAGGGTGGTGACCAGGGTAGAGGCCAGGGTGGAGGCCAGGGTGGTGACCAGGGTGGTGACCAGGGTGGTGACCAGGGTGGTGACCAGGGTGGAGGCCAGGGTGGTGACCAGGGTAGAGGCCAGGGTGGAGGCCAGGGTGGAGGCCAGGGTGGAGGCCAGGGTGGAGGTCAGGGTGGAGGCCAGGGTGGTGACCAGGGTAGAGGCCAGGGTGGAGGCCAGGGTGGTGACCAGGGTAGGGCCAGGGTGGTGACCAGGGTGGAGGCCAGGGTGGTGACCAGGGTAGAGGCCAGGGTGGAGGCCAGGGTGGAGGCCAGGGTGGAGGCCAGGGTGGAGGCCAGGGTGGAGGCCAGGGTGGTGACCAGGGTAGAGGCCAGGGTGGTGACCAGGGTGGTGACAAGGGTGGAGACCAGGGTGGACACCAGGGTGGAGGCCAGGGTGGAGGCCAGGGTGGAGGCCAGGGTGGAGGCCAGGGTGGTGACCAGGGTAGAGGCCAGGGTGGAGACCAGGGTGGAGACCAGGGTGGAGACCAGGGTGGAGACCAGGGTGGAGACCAGGGTGGAGACCAGGGTGGAGACCAGGGTGGAGACCAGGGTGGAGGTCAGGGTGGAGACTAGGGTGAAGGCCAGGGTGGAGGCCAGGGTGGAGGCCAGGGTGGAGGCCAGGGTGGAGGTCAGGGTGGAGGCCAGGGTGGTGACCAGGGTAGAGGCCAGGGTGGAGGCCAGGGTGGTGACCAGGGTAGAGGCCAGGGTGGTGACCAGGGTGGAGGCCAGGGTGGTGACCAGGGTAGAGGCCAGGGTGGAGGCCAGGGTGGAGGCCAGGGTGGAGGCCAGGGTGGAGGCCAGGGTGGAGGCCAGGGTGGTGACCAGGGTAGAGGCCAGGGTGGTGACCAGGGTGGTGACCAGGGTGGAGACCAGGGTGGACACCAGGGTGGAGGCCAGGGTGGAGGCCAGGGTGGAGGCCAGGGTGGAGGCCAGGGTGGTGACCAGGGTGAGACCAGGGTGGAGACCAGGTGGAGACCAGGGGGAGACCAGGGTGGAGACCAGGGTGGAGACCAGGGTGGAGACCAGGGTGGAGACCAGGGTGGAGGACAGGGTGGAGATAGGGTGAAGGCCAGGGTGGAGGCCAGGGTGGAGGCCAGATTGGAGACCATGGTGGAGACCACGGTGGAGGCCAGGGTGGAGTCCAGGGTGGAGACCAGGGTGAGGAAAGGGTGGAGCCAGGGTGGATGCCAGGGTAGGCCAGGGTGGAGACCAGGGTGGAGGCTAGGGTGGAGGCCAGGGTGGATCCAGGGTGGAAGCCAGGGTGGAGACCAGGGCGGCGGCCAGGGTGGAAAACCAGGTGGAGCCAAGGGGGAGAGGGTGAGCCAGGGTGGTGCCAGGGTGGAAACCAGGGTGGAGACCAGGGTGGAGACCACCAGGGTGGAGGCCAGGGTGGTGGAAAGGGTGGAGGCCAGGGTGGAGGCCAGGGTGGAGGCCAGGGTGGAGATCAGGGTGGAGGCCAGAGTGGAGGCCAAGGTGGAGGCCAGGGTGGAGACCAGGGTGGAGACCAGGGTGGAGACCAGGGTGGAGACCAGGGTGGAGGCCAGGGTGGAGGCCAGGTGAGAGGCCAGGGTGGAGCCAGGGTGGAGCCAAGTGGAGACAAAGGTGGAGACAAGGTGGAGGCCAGGGTGGAGCCAGGGTAGAAAGGGTGGAGACCAGGGTGCCAGGGTGGAGAAAGGGTGGAGGCAGGGTGGAGGCCAGGGTGGAGATCAGGGTGGAGGCCAGGTGGAGGCCAAGGTGGAGCCAGGGTGGAACCAGGGTGGAGACCAGGGGCGCAGGGACCAAGGTGGAGACCAGGGTGGAGGACCAGGGTGGAGACCAGGGTGGAGGCCAGGGTGGAAAGACCAGGATGGAGACCAGAAGGTAGAGGGAGCAGGGTGGGAGCCAGGTGGGGCTGGAAAGGTTAGTGGAGGCCAGGGTGGAGGCCAGGGTGAAGCCGAGGTAGGTGGAGCCAGGGTGGAGGTCAGAGTGGAGGCCGGAAGGCTAGAGGAGGCCAGGGTTAGGCCAGGGTGGAGGCCAGGTGGAGCCAGGGTAAGTGGAGACCGGGTGGAGGCCAGGGTGGAGGCAGGTGGAGCCAAGGCAGAGTGGAGGCCAGGGTGGAGGCAAGGTGGAGCAGGTGGAGCCGAAGGCAGAGTGGAGGCCAGGGGGAGCCAGGGTAGAAGGGTGGAGACAGGGTGGTGCCAGGGTGGTGGCCAAGGGTGGAGACCAGAAGGAGGCTAGGGGATCTAGGTGAGGCCAGGGTTGAGCACGGGTGGAGGCCAGGGAGACCAGGGTGGGCCAGGTGGGACGTGAGGCCAGGGTGGAGGACCAGGGTGGAGACCAATGGAGTAGGTGGACCAGGGTGGAGCCAGGGTGGAGACCAGGGTGGAGACCAGGGTGGAGCCAGGGTGGAGACCAGGATGGAGACCAATGAGACAAGGTGGAGGCCAGGGTGGAGCCAGGGTGGAGACCGGATGGAAAGTGGAGGCCAGGGTGGAGCCAGGGTGAGCCAGGTGGAGACCAGGGTGGAGACCAGGGTGGGAGCAGGTGGGCCGCCAGAAGGCTAGAGTGGAGGCCAGGGTGGACATAGGCCAGGTGGAGGCCAGGTGGAGGCCAGGGTGGAGGCCGGGTGGAGGCCAGGGTACGGAGGCAGGTGGAGCCAGATAGGTCAGAGTGGAGCCAAAGGTGGTGGAGGCCAGGATGGAGGCCCAAGTGGAGCCCGGAAGGCTAGAGTGGAGGCCAGGGTGGAAGTCAGGGTGGAGGCCAGGTGGAACCCGGAAGGCTAGAGTGGAGGCCACGGTGGAGGCCAGGGTGGAAGCCAGGGTGGAGGCCAGGTGAAGCCCAGAAGGCTAGAGTGGAGGCCAGGGTGGATGCCAGGTGGAGCCCAGAAGGCTAGAGTGGAGGCCAGGGTGGAGGCCATGGTTGAGGCCAGGTGGAGCCCGGAAGGCTAGAGTGGAGGCCAGGGTGGAGGCCAGGGTGAAGCCCGGAAGGCTAGAGTGGAGGCCAGGGTGGAGGCCAGAGTGGAGCTCGGAAGGCTATAGTGGATTGCAGGGTGGAGGCCAGGTGGAGCCCAGAAAGCTAGAGTGGAGGCCAGGGTGGAGGCAAGGGTGGAGGCCAGGTGGAGCCCAGAAGGCTAGAGTGGAGGCCAGGGTGGAGGACATGGTGGAGGCCAGGTGGAGCCCGGAAGGCTAGAGTGGAGGCCAGGGTGGAGGCCAGGGTGGAGGCCAGGGTGGGCAGGTGGAGCCAGGGTATTGTCACTGTGGACAGAACAATTCACAGTTTGATGCCATTTATCTGTGGAACATCCTGACATCTTTCAGACTCTTCACGAGATTGTCAAGTCACAACTCAGCGAGGTGGCCCACGGTCTTACCTCTTCCATAACTATTGTCGGAATCTCGTTGTCGACAGAGCAGGTGTCGAAGTGAAACGTGGGTACATGGTCATTTGCGTCTGTAATGACCATGTTTATATTATAAGTTCCGTTTAGAGGCGGAGTTCCGTGATCTATTCCCTGAAATATAATTATTAACCCGTTTATAATAATATAAATAATAATATAACTAATAATATAATTGTAATAATATTAATAATGATATGAATAATAATTAAATAATAATGATACAACTAATAATTAAAAATAATATAATACTAATTGTAATTGAAGATAATCATGGGCTTGGTATCCCTAGTTTTGAAGGTTCTCATTATCCATCTTATCATAAATAATAATAATAATAATAATAATAATAATAATAATAATAATAATAATAATAATAATAAAAATAATAATAATAATAAAAATAATAAATATTTACAAGATTTTTAATTTCCTTTTTTTCACTTTTATTTCCATTGCTTTTAGAAATTTAAAAATTTTGTGACCTTTATTTCATATTCTATGTATTTTAAACTTTTTTAATCAATGAAACCTGGACACAAGCTCGGCGTATCCATGTGTCATGTATCCTGCACCATTATGTTTTATGTATTAATGCCCAATTTGTCTGTGTCTTATGAAGGTAGTAAGACAGTAGTAACAGGCAGTAAGAAGCTGTAAGATACAATAAGAGACAGTAAATATTTATTTTTATATCTTACCATTATTTCAATATCGTAGAGGCCTTTAAGTCCGGTCATATTTATCGTTGTAATCAGCCTGGAAGAAAAATTATATATATATATAAATAATATATATATATATATATATATAATATATATATATATATAATATATATATATATATATATATATATATATATCTCAGAGACTCAGTGTTGCGATCCAGAGGGGAAATGCCTGCAGCATTCTTGACACGCAGTCCACCACCAGGGAGCTGGATGAAGTGTTTGAGATATAGATTTTGAAATGTTCTTTATGTTGTTCTTATTTCTATTGTATCTTTGTTAATGTTTTTTGTTTATAAATAAAGTTTACATAGAATATAGAATATATGGGGTGGTAGGAGAAAAAAATATTGAAACGCTCCAGAGAGAACCTCGAGTTTTTTTTTTCACACACTGACGGTAGTCAAAGATTACAGAGGCACATAATGGGTCCAGGAACTGGGCCGCAAAGTTTTGATTACTGAATAAGTTGGAGTGGCATATTGTGTGTCAATGGATGCGAACTTGTCTCTGTACTGACCCAACATTCCACCTTCAAGTTCCAGGTGTCACTTATAATAGCCACTGCCATACTCGTGTTATCAAAAATTCTTAAACACCTCAAACATTTCTACTTACGTGCAGAAATACTGTGTTTCGCCTGCATTATCCCAGTAGCTGCTAACAGCTTGGAACATCTGGGACTCTTCACCTGTATTTACGTTTGTAACTCTTAACACCTCGAAGGTAATTTGACTATTGTTTGTATTTGGTTCGTCATCATCACGAGCAGTAATCCTGTAAGGGGTGACGCCGTCCGATGTCACCTCTGAGCCCTGCAGTAGTAAAAGGAATTCATGAAATATTTATTTATTTAATGTCTTTGCACAGTACATTGAGATTGTGTATATACAATAGTGGGTTGCAGTACATAGAGAGCCTCTATTATGCCTAGGTATTATGGGCCAACTTAACATTATTGGCTTACAGTCTACTTAATACTAAGGAGTAGTATATCATAGTTGTACAGTAGGAAAGTAATTATTTCATAATTGTACAGTAGAATATTAATTATAAATGAATCAAAATTTGTATAATACAAAGATATATTTATATTCTAAACTGCTTTTGTGAAAAACAATGATTCAATTGTATTCCTGTCAACAATGGATAAAAGGTTCAATGAGATTGTTTCAGTTATGATGTGGGAGTACATAGGTGAGTAAATGTGTACTGAGTATTTAGCATTTAGTCTAGGGTGATTAAGTGGCTTTTGAGAAGTGTCTTAAATTGACTTTCAGACTGGGTTACTTTAATATCTTCTGGTAATGAATTCCATATTTTGGGGCCCTTTATGTGCATAGAGTTTTTACACAGTGTGATATGGACACAAGGTATATCAAAAAGAGATCTATGTCTTGTGTTGTGGTCATGTGTCCTGTTTAGGTTGGTGAGGAGAAGTTTGAGTGGAGGTTTATATTTGCGTGTATTGTTCTGTGTATGTAGTAGGCACATGAATAAGTATGGATGTTCTTAATGGTAAGCAGATTCAGACTTTTTGATAATTGGTGGAGTATGCTGGCAGGAGTGGGAATTTATTATCATTCTTACTGCTGCCTTTTGCTGGGTTATTGGGGGTTTTAGGTGATTGGATGTTGTTGATCCTCATGCACAAATTCCATATGTAAGATAAGGGTATATGGGTGAATGGTACAGTGCCAGGAGAGCTGATTGTGGAACGTAGTACCTTATCTTTGATAGTATGCCTATAGATTGTAATAGAGTGGCTTGTTCAACACAAACCTGAAATATTAAGATACGAGGGAAAAATGAGTACGCCGAAGACTCTGGTATTTCTGGTGATGCAACAATGACAAGAACTATGCAAAAGATTTCAGGGAACGCAGAATAAAATGGTTATAATTATAACCTTAATTTTTAAAAGACTGGACCAGTAAGCCAGCGGAAGGCCTCTGTCAGGCGACCAAAAGCTCCAGCTGGGGTCACCATATGACAGAGACCCGTATCAGGATTATATTTTCGCTCAGAGAGGACGGAACAATAAATGCATAAATAAACATACTGCTAAGTAATATAAAACGAATTAATTATAATCAGGAGCACTGAAATTAGCTCCTCTACAAAACATACAATTTTTTCGGGATCCTTTAAATGTTGCTACCCTGGGCGGCCGCCTAGTTAGCCTATTCGAATTCAATATTTTTATTTTTTGTGGTACAAAAATAATTTAGTTTACACGTAATAAAACATTGGTAGGCGCAAACAATTATAGTAAATTGTGTAAATTACCTGTCTGCCTTATGGGTTATCCTAGGTAATTTACACTTTGATAATTGTACTAAATAAGTTTATTTAGGTACAGGTACACAAATAGTTACATAAATTATCATACACAAGTAACATATGTGTAAATTACCTAGGATAACCCAGTAAAAAGTCAGATAACGTGACTTATTTCCAGTGTCTGCACTCTGAAGGACGGGTGTTAATGTTGCAGTTTTATAACTGTAGTGTAAGTGCGTCTCTGGCAAGACAGTGATGGAGTGAATGATGGTGAAAGTTTTTTCTTTATCGGGCCACCCTGCCTTGGTGGGAAACGGCCTGTGTGTTAAAAAAAATCTATTGGTGCCCTTAATAGACTTACAAAAGAAAGGCACTATTGGACTGCACTAGCCATGTTTCTGTGGAGGCTGAGTAAACTACTAGTACTAACAACTTCCTCTTAAATTGTTCTGTGTATCAGTAAAATAGCTTTCCTAATTAAGCTTTGATCAGTGAGAACAAGCAGGGACATACTGCCTAGTACATTTATTTAGGTACAGGTACACAAATACAGTAATTATAAAGAGTGTAAATTGCCTAGGATAGTTCACGTGTAGGTAAAGCACCAATAATAATAATAATGTCTTTATTCCTACAAGTACATATACAAGGTATAGAGGCCTAGCTGACATCAATGACTTATTACGATGTAGAAAGCCCCTTGTTATGCAGAGCATTTCCCGCAAATTAGGTCAATTTTGTCCCCAGGATGCTACCCACACCAGTCAACTTAAGGATACACATGTAGATTTTTACCTCGTTCAAAAGCTCAGTCGCATGAAGATGGTCAGGGTCATCCTTGGGGGACCAGTCAAAGTTTTGAGGAAATTCGTCATTAATATCGTCCACAATGATGACTACAAGGCAGTCATCACTTTGTTGCACTGTAAAAGAAGATTGATGACTGAGGCAGTCGTCACATTTTATCACTAAAATAACATTGATGACTGTGAGATAGTTATTACTACATTGTACTGGAAAATAACATTAATGACTCTTGAGACAGTCATCACTACAGAAGACTGGTGACTGTGCGGCAGTCATCACCGAGATTTTTTTTTTTTTTTTTTTTTAATTTTAATGGATTTTGGATAATGAAGATAAAACTAACATCTCGCTTCCTATATGGAGAAAAAGTTAATTAAATTTATCCGAATTCTGGATACGCCAATTTTTACTTTGTACCAAAAGTAACCTAGCAACCTAACCTAATTTAACCATGTTAAAATGTATATAATATAAAATAGATTAATATAGATAAATCAAAATAACTCACTATTCTTAATCTAGATATTAATTTACATACTTTTATATAGCTTATTTTCTTGCTAGAAGGGCAAGTCTTTGGACTGTGGCTAGGCCTGGGGACAGTTGGTCCCGAAGATGAAGGGATACTTGTACCTCCTTCCATGGGAGCCTTAAGTCTCGAGATATTCCCCAGATAGGGAGCCAAGGCCGTGTCACCACTACTTGGAAAAGACCCGGGCCGGGAGAATACGGGCGAATAAAATGGTCCCGAAGATGAAGGGATACTTGTACCTCCTTCCATGGGAGCCTTAAGTCTCGAGATATTCCCCAGATAGGGAGCCAAGGCCGTGTCACCACTACTTGGAAAAGACCCGGGCCGGGAGAATACGGGCGAATAAAAAAAAATAATTGGAAAAGACCCGGGCCGGGAGGATACCGGCGAATAAAAAAAAATACTCATAATTCACTGGATATAAACACTAAAAGATGGTATAAACCTTGGTAATAAATACCGACAAGTTGGTTTAGAAAGACACGTAAGCAAACACTATTACATATTTATTAGAAAACGTTTCGGTCCTGGGACCTTGATCACTTCGGTCTCAGGACCGAAACGTTTTCTAATAAATATGTCATAGTGTTTGCTTACGTGTCTTTCTAAACCACACCAAAAGATGTATATTACTTTCAGCCTATGCATGTCGAGAGCTTTAATCTCTATTTTAGGGATTTAATTTTTCTTGTCTGGTGGCGAAAATTTTGAATATATCTTTACCCCGGTTTTCTTTCTGTTGATAGTGACGTTTCTCAATGTATTATCGAAATGTATCTTCAGAACACATGTGAATTGTCCTGATAGAATTTTTATTTTTTTTTACTTCCTCATCACCTGAATTTCCCCTCAACCCCTTCAGTTGATCTGATTTCTGGCACAATTCCCCGTCACTCCTTCAATCGCGACTGGACAATGTCTCAGCACGGTCTGGAAACACTTCCATGCAAATCATATATTGTTCCAACCACAGCGTGACCTTGAGACCATACGGGAGTTCTTTCTTTCAACAAACCGGCCGTATCCCACTGAGGCAGGGTGGCCCAAAAAGAAAAACGAAAGTTTCTCTTTTTAAATTTAGTATTTTATACAGGAGAAGGAATTACTAGCCCCTTGCTCCCGGCATTTTAGTCGCCTCTAACGACACTCATGGCTTACGGAGGAAGCTTCTGTTCCACTTCCTCATGGAGAACACACGGGAGTTATACACAGATAATCCGCACATGGGAATGTGTGACTCAGGAAATCGTAATGACACGATTGCAAACAAACCATACCACGGGTGGGGGGGGGGATAAAACCCACGATCAGAGTGACTACTTAATGATCCAAGCCGGACCGAAGCGTCGTCTTAAGTTTCTTTCACCTATGTATAACGGGTTATTTGTGTATTCTTCCAGGCAAGGTATTGTACCTTTCCATTCTTCATACAGGAGTTGCTTGTACATACCTTTGCAGTTACTGTCGTAGGTTTTACAGGCATCGTAGGCGTAGAAGGTGAGTTCCCACCTTGGGTATTCTTCACGGTCCAAGATACCTTTGGTTTCGTTCACAGTTACTATACCTAAAAGTTAGTTAACGTATATCATGAAGTCTGTCAACAATGTATATTATATAGTTTGACAATCGGTTAAGGTTCTAATGTAACCAAGAATTCACAGCATAAATTCCATACATGCAAGATATCTAGTGTAACAGTTGAAACGGGATATAAGTGACGGGTTCTGCATGACGGGTTCTGCATGACGGGTTCTACATGACGGGTTCTACATGACACTTCAAAACAGATACGCTTCAGTACAAACACATCAAAACACTTCGCAACACACACACATGCACTTTAGAACAGACACACACTTTAAAGGAAACGCACTTTCAGTGACACACTTACCAGTGAGAGGATCCAACATGAAGGGCAACCGACGGTTTTGTGTGTCGGAGAGTTGTTCGTTGAGCAGAGCATAACTGACCGAGTTGTGCGGCTCTGCGGAATAATATAATAAAAATAATAATAAAATAATATAATAATATTATTAAATATATATATATATAATTATATATATATAATATATATATATATATATATATATATATATATATAAATATATATATATATATTATATATATATATATATGCAAAACAACCACTCTGAAAGAATAGAGAAATTAAAAGCGCTTTCGTGACTACTCACATTATCAAGGAACTATGAAAGCAAAGCATCCAAGGAAGTTATATAAGGGGGTCTGGCCAACACCTCACTATCAGATCCCACATCGGTTAAACACCTGACGCGCGCCGGCCCAACTGGACAGGTCCTTTGCACAACCACCAACAAACTATTCTACCCAAAAAAAAAATTTAAATTATGATTTTGACAAATTATTATTTTGACAAATAATAATTTTAAAAATTTTCTTGGGTAGAATAGTTTGTTGGTGGTTGTGCAAAGGACCTGTCCAGTTGGGCCGGCGCGCGTCAGGTGTTTAACCGTTGTGGGATCTGATAGTGAGGTGTTGGCCAGACCCCCTTATATACCTTCCTTGGATGCTTTGCTTTCATAGTTCCTTGATAATGTGAGTAGTCACGAAAGCGCTTTTAATTTCTCTATTCTTTCAGAGTGGTTGTTTTGCATATTCTGAAATCACCTGTTTACTGTGATCTTATTGCATATATATATATATATATATTATATATATATATATATATATATATTATATATATATATATATATTTTATATATATATATACACAATATAATGCAATAAGATCACAGTAAACAGGTGATATCACAATATGCAGAAAAACCACAGTGAAAAAATAGTGAAATTCCAAGCAATTTCGTGATTTCTCACTTTATCATAGTTCCTTGATAATGTGAGAAATCACGAAAGCGTTTGGAATTTCACTATTTTTTCACGGCGGTTGTTCTGCATACAATATAATATAATAACGCTTAATAAGTCTCAAATGGGCGAAATATTTTACAAACATATCTCTCAGTCCACAGCAGGATTTGAACCTACACTGCATCAAATTACGTAGGTAGTACTCACTCCACTCGGCTGGATCCAGCCGAGTGGCGTGAGTACTACCTACTTTAATGAATACTTTCACAGTAAGTTTATTCAGGTATACACAAATAGAATTACACAGATTATCATACTTAGCAGCATATGTGTAGAGAACCTAGAATAACCCAAAAAAAGACACAGTGACTTATTTCCATTGGGGTCCTTTTAATTTCTCACGACGACATTAATCAGGCGTTCCTCTGACCCACACGGCTCTAGCTCTCTCCCTAACGAATATAGCAATACTAATTTCGTTAACGAAGGGTTCTTGCTGGACACACCTTCCTTGTCAGCATCTGTTGCTCGGACAGTTGTTACGTAGTATCCATTATTCTCGCTTTCTTTTACGTGTATCGGCACATCAACATCACAATTATCTGGTTCCATTACGGGTTTATTGTCATTTAGATCTTCGACAGTAATGGTAATCTGAAAAAGAACAAGTTGGTTGCAATAAATTATTGTTGTATGGGGAAAGATGCTTGTAAGATGTACAAATTATAAGCTATTATATATAATAACAATATATAATTATCGCGAACAAGCGATACAAGATGCAAAAGAACCATGGGGGGAGTTGAATGATATATCTAGGCCTTGCGAGTTGCAATCAACACATCAGAACCTTATAATGTTGCAGAGATGAGTAGGAAGTCCCAGTGGATTCGTTCAGAGGAACGACTGTAGCTCGAATGAGCTTGAACTAATCACAGTGCGTCCCAGGACCTGATGAGCTTATAAATTTAACTCAGAGGTTAACAATGGCCCAGAAACCAAGATAATTATAAACCCACAGAATACATTACTTTTTTATTTACTTTAAGTAATTGAGTATGACCGGCAGAGTCCTTAGCTGTTACAGTGACGATGATTTCTGCAATACTCTCTCTGTCGATATTTGTGTCATACACTAAAATCTCTGCTCTGAATGCGCCATTAACAACAGTAGTGTCGCCCAGGTACATGTACGTGTCATCACTGTAAAACAAAAGTCAGATAATTTGCGTGATTCTTCACAATCGTAAGTCTTAAAGACTTGTAATACATAGAAAATACAATAATGTATTGTAAAAACACTGGTTCACTGAAAGATCTTACGTGGGGATGAGGGGGGATAACACATTATATATATATATATATATATATATATATATATATATAATAATATATATATATATATATATATATATATATAATATATATATATATATGCAATAAGATCACAGTAAACAGGTGATTTCGGAATATGCAAAAACAACCACTCTGAAAAAATAGAGAAATTCCAAGCGCTTTCGTGACTACTCACATTATCAAGGAACTATGAAAGTAAAGCATCCAAGGAAGCTATATAAGGGGTCCGGGCCAGCACCTCACTATCAGATCCCACAACGGTTAAACACCTGACGCGCGCCGACCCAACTTGGATAGGTCCTTTGCACAACTCACACCACAAACTATTCTACCCAAGAAAATTTAAAAATTATTTGTCCAGTGTATTATTAAATTCTTCCCAAATTCTATTAATTATAAATGGATCTAATTTATATAAACCAAAGGAAATATTCATATTATTGTCAAAACTGCTTTTTTATGAAACAAGATTCAATTATATTCCTGTCGACCATGGACTTGCTTGATACTACTTTCTCAACTTTTGAAAATCAATTGGATGGTTAAAATCTCTTACATGAATAAATAGAGCATTGGAATCTTGTCCAGTTCTAATGCTATATTTATGTTGTTTTAATCTTAGTTCGAGATTTTTACCAGTTTAACCGTTGTGGGATCTGATAGTGAGGTGCTGGCCTGACCCCTTATATAGCTTCCCTGTATGCTTTTCTTTCATAATTCCTTGATAATGTGAGTAGTCACGAAAGCGCTTGGAATTTCTCTATTTTTTCAGAGTGGTTGTTTTGCATATATATAAATATATATATATATATATATATATAATATATAATATATAAATATATATATATATATATATATATATATAATATATATATATATATAATATGTAACAGAATTATCACTAAGTTACGATGGATCAAATAACTGTGCTCACTTAATGGAGAAGGTAATGGTGTCATCCACGTCCGGATCACTGGCTTCAACAGTCAGGACCGGAGTACCTGGAGGGGAATTTTCAGGGACGGAATTCGAGCCCGGATCTTTAAAGACCGGAGGAGAGTCGTTCATGTCGTTGATGGTGATCGAGACCATTGCTGTTGAAGAGTGAAGATGCAGGTGTTAGCATCTGAGGAAGTGGATCATGTTCTGGGTCCCTTCTGTTTACTATTTCTTCCTAGCAAATGGAATTATACCATCGCTATTGTTTCTTTGTTTATTTTTTTGCCTTTTTTTACTGAATCAATGTAACTGGTTGCTGGTATGGGCTCTGGATCCAAGAAATTGGAGTAATTTTACTTTTCTTAAGGTCTAACCTGATTGCTTCCGATTTCCCAGGAGCTGTACAACCTCTACTGTGTTAATGTTTCCCCATTAATAATAATAATAATAATAATAATAATAATAATAATAATAATAATAATAATAATTTTACCTCAGTTGCTGTCTCACACCAGACAGAGGAAACACATTCGCCAATTATTCAATCACTGTTTTGCCAGCTGACATCATAGTTTAGAGTACCTTACCGACTACAACATCTCCACCCGTCCTTCAGAGTGCAGGCACTGTACGTCCCACCTCCAGGACTCTGGTCTGCCTAACCGAGTTTCCTTAAATCCCTTCATGAATGTTACCTTGCTCACACTCCAACAGCACGTTCATTAAAAACCACTCGTCTTCTTTCACTCCTAACAGGCTCAAACAAGCCTGCTGGATGCTCAAGCCCTTCACACTCAAAACTCTCCTCTATCTCACTCCTGCTAGCCGGTTCTGGTACGTGCTCTACCCCTCCTTTCTGCCATCCCAGATTTATATACTACTCTGGCCCTAAAGTCAGTTCCCGACCAACCGGGTTGTGATTCGTACGTCAGTTTACGTACGGCAAGCACTAACAGCCTTGGTGATCGGGCTCTGATCCACCCCGAGGCCTGGTCATGGACCAGGCCGCGGGGGCGGTGATCCCCGAAACACCTTCCAGGTATCTTATTCCTTCCCATGCTCGCTGTATACACAAACCTCCTCAGCAACCCTCTCAGCCCTCACCTTCGTGATACCACACCGCCTTTTTAACTTCTACTTTCCGAATTCTGTGCATAATATTCACACCACACATTGTTCCCAAATACATCTCCACTGCCTCCAGCCTCCTCCTCCCTGTAACGGTTCAAGACCCGACACTCATAAAAACGTGTTGGTACCACTATATTCCGGTACATTCCCACTCTTTTTGACACCATAGATAAACTTTCTATATGCAGATGCCTCGACACACTACCTTCGTCTCCTTATCTATTCAGTGGTTCATCTCGTCTTTCATAGACCCATCTGCTAACACGACTGCTCTCAAATATCTAAATACAGTCACTTCCTCCATACTCCCTCCTTGCAATATGATATTTAACCTATCATTACCCAGCCTTTTTGTTAGCCTCATTACCTTTCTCTTCAATATCTCATTACCTATACTTTTGTTAGCCTCATTACCTTTCTCTTTTGTGTGCTCGCCTTTATTTTCCTTATATTAGATACCCTCATTTGACAATTATCCAAGATGAACCAAAATGTCGTTACAGGTTTCTTCTGCCAGTTGCGAGTTACTCGTGAATACACTCCCAAATTCGTCCACTAACATTTGTAACTTGCCTTCATAATCTCTACAAAGAACTGTGTCATCGGTAGAGAGCAACTGTGACAACTCCCTCTTCACATCAGATTCAAAATAGCGCAACCCTACACATCTCTACAACACCCCAGCATTCACTTCTTTTACAGCTTCATCTATAACTATGCTAAACAACAATGATGACATCAGGCATCCCTGGAAAACAGTGTCTCCCACTCTCCAGAGGCTTTCTATCCGTTAAAAATTCTTATGAAACTGCTTTTAGTAACTTCCACCTTTTTCATATATTTGAAACATCTACCCCATGGTTGCCCTATCCATCCTATCACACGCCTTTTCTAAATCCGAACATAGAACTTATATCCTTAATAATTTAAGTACTATTCACTTACATGTTTCAGTGTAATTACCTGGCCTACACATCCTCTGACCTTCCTAAATTCTCCCTGCTACTTTGTCATCTTAGGGCGAAACGTTGTCTCATTGTCAATATCGTTGGCAAACATCACAATGGAAATGTCATACTGACTTTACCGGGTTCTTCTAGGTTAAATGTACATAATATACCGTATTATATATGTGTGACTATATCACCTGTCTGCCCTCGAGACATCATGAAACACTATGTTATGACACACTTATGAAGGGATTTATGGAAACCGGTTAGCTGGACTCGAGTCCTGGAAGTGGGAAGAACAGTGTCTGCACTTTAAAGGAGGAAGTGTGAGGAAGCTGCAGTTGGGAAGGCCATCTAAACTCTGATGCCAGCAAGATTTTGCTAGGACAACGATGAAAGGATTGACGGTGAATGCGAATGTGCCATGTCGACCTCTATATGAGACCTTCCTCAGCATCGCTAAAGATCATCATCTCTGACTATGACGGAAAATATAGTTTATACATTCTGTTTCTGTCTACAAGTGGATTTTTCCCAGTCCACTTTCGCGTGTCAGTTACCCTCTTGAGGTTTCATCACCCTCTTCTCTTCGCTAACGTCTTACCTGAGGTGCTTTTAGAATTCACTTTTGTGTTCTCGTCTACAGCAACAATCTTCAAATTAACCGAGTCCACTACTTCCCGATCAATTGAATTTTCACCGACTTTTATATCCGCCAAGTAGTAGCTGCTTTCTGAACTGGGTGTTTCAGATGTGTCTATGGTAAACCATCTGTAGGAAAAAATAATTTCGTTTTAATATTCGTTCGGAAATGTGTAGGATTTTTCCTAACTTCCAGTCATATACCGACTTTGGGATTAAGCAAGATAAAAATGTCAAACTCGTAAGATTACTGTGAGATAACTCACAAGATTACTGCTAAGAATATGATAAGATTACTGAAAGATTGCTGGTTAGATTACTGTAAGATTACTGCCAAGATAACTGTAAGATTGCTAGAAAGGATGGGCAAGCAGCCAAAAAGGAAGACAGGGAAGACAGCAAAGAACTTAGCTGAAGATTGGAAAGGTTTCTTGACAGACGACAGACAACAAGGAGTTAGCTGAAAGCAGGACAGTCAGGACAAACCAACACAGGTGAGAAAACATCAACATAAGGAAAGGAATGATAGAATTACTAAAGGAGCTGAACACAAACACAATCACTGGAACCCCTGCATGACATTGGCGCTGAGGGAAGCAGAACCACTGTCTGACCTTATAGTAAACAAGTGTTTCCTGACACGGGTCTCGGGTGATGACCCGCCGATGGAGCATTTGGTCACCTGACCGCAGCCTTTCACTGGCTTACTGATCTACCCCTTTAATAATTATGGTGTATTATGATGAGACACACAGATGTACTACTATGTAAAAAAGATACTGCAACACTTGGAGGTGACAGGATGTGTCTGAAAGTAGGAGGGATTAGTGAAGGGAAATTCGGCCAAGTAAACTTAATGTAGGTTAGCAATGCTGACCCTGAATACCAGTAATTGTTGTAATAGTAATAGTGGTAGTGGTGGTGGTAGTAGTAGTAGTAGTAGTACTGGTAGTAGTTGTAGTTGTAGTAGTAGAGGTGGTAGTAGTAGTAGTGGAAGTAGTTGTAGTAGTGCTGGTGGTGGTACTAGTTGTGGTAGTAATAGTTGTAGTAGTTGACAACCTCATGTGAAAATAGTAACTAACACATGTAAACACACACACACCTGAAGAAACTGGAGGACGAGAGAGGGAGGGACATGATAACGACATATAAAATACCGAGAGCCATTAACAAGGTGGAGAGAGACAGGATGTTTCAGAGATGGGACACAACAACAAGGGGACACAATTGGAAAGTTGAAGACTCAGATGAATCACAGGGATGTTAGGAAGTATTCCTTTAGTCACAGAGTTGTCAAGAAGTGGAATAGTCTGGAGAATGATGTAGTGGAGGCAGGATCCATACATAGCTTTAAGAAGAGGTATCATAAAACTCATGAAACATGGAGAGGGAGGACCTAGCAGCGATCAGTGAAGAGGCGGGGCCAGGAGCTATAACTCGACTCCTGCAACCACAACTAGGTGAGTGCACACACACACAAACACCCCCCCCTCTCCAAACACTATTTTCAAATTAAAAGTAAATAAATCTTACTTTGTAATTAAATTAACATCAACCTTTTCTCCATCCTTAAAAGCCTCTGAAGCATCCCAGTCAATACTGAAACTGATGCTGGCATCTGCGTCCTTGTCATGCGCCTCGACTGTGTCCAAGAGCGTCCCTTGATCACTGTTCTCAACCACTGACATACTGACCTGAAATTGACAAACTTGGGTAAAGTATGGAAACTACATGAAAAAAATTATTTTTGTTTCTTCCAAGGCGCTGGACAGACACCTAAAGTCAGTACCTGATCAGCCGGGCTGTGGTTCTTACGTCGGTTTAAGTGCGGCCAGCGGTAATAGCCTGGTTAGGTCAAAGGACACAATTGCAACTAATGTGACATTTTATTGTGGCAACGTTTCGCTCTCCAGGAGCTTTATACAACTTAATACAACATCCTGGTTGATCAGACCCTGATCCACAACGAGGCCTGGTCTGAGACCAGGCCGCGGGGGTGTTGACCCCCGAAACCTTCTCCAGGTATACTCCAGGGTGGGTATGAGGTGCAAAATAGATATATTAAACTAAACTTCCAATTGGAGCCTCGCTTATACAGCAGGTTAGGTTCCGGGCAACTGGAAAGCCTCGCTTATACAGCAGGTTAGGTTCCGGGCTACTAGAGGGCCCCGCTTATACAGCAGGTTAGGTTCCGGGCTACTGGAGGGCCCCGTTTATACAGCAGGTTAGGTTCCGGGCTACTGGAGGGCCCCGCTTATACAGCAGGTTAGGTTCCGAGCTACTGGAGGGCCCCGCTTATACAGCAGGTTAGGTTCCGAGCTACTGGAGGGCCCCGCTTATACAGCAGGTTAGGTTCCGGGCTACTGGAGGGCCCCGTTTATACAGCAGGTTAGGTTCCGGGCTACTGGAGGGCCCCGCTTATACAGCAGGTTAGGTTCCGAGCTACTGGAGGGCCCCGCTTATACAGCAGGTTACGTTCCGGGCTACTGGAGGGCCCCGCTTATACAGCAGGTTAGGTTCCAGACTACTGGTGTATAGTTAAAAATAGCTGTAAAGTGAGTCATACCTTTTTTCTCACTTTCAAATGCATATAAAAGTCTGGTAGCATGTTTACACTATCATATATTAAGTGTGCAATAGACCTAGGCCTAAAAAAGTCATAGGCCTAAAAATTTCATCCTTAGGTTAAAGCGAGTGAATATATTTATTGTAGGAAGTGTGAATAAATGATGAATGGATATAATTGAAAGCTGCTGCGTTAACGAAATTCTGTAAAAGAGAAGCGTTGTAAATATATATCTGAACGCAGTTTAATGCGAGCCTTTATTGACAGCGTTGGGCGAAACGTTGTCAATAAAGAATTGAGTTATAATAATCTTTATTCCTACAAGTACATGTACAAGGTATACAGACCATAGCTGACATTAATGATATACATACTACTATATAGCAAGCCGCTTGTTATGCTCAGCATTTCGGGCATATTAGGTCAATTTTATCCCAGGATGCGACCCACACCAGTCGATTAACACCCAGGTACCCATTTTACTGATAGGCGAGCATCGACAGCAGGTGTCTTAAGAAAACACGTCCTAATGTTTCCACCCGTACCAGGGATCAACCCCCCCCAGACCTCAGTGTGTGAGCTGAGTGCGCTACGAATCGTGCAGCATATTACACCATTTCCTTCCAGTCTAAGATCGTTAGTCCAGAATATTTTAGTCCTGAGGATCGTTAAGCACAGGTTGTCCACCCCACTTCTCCAGCCCACCTCTCCAGCCCACCTCTCCAGCCCACCTCTCCAGCCCACCTCTCCAGCCCACCTCTCCAGCCCACCTCTCCAGCCCACATCAACTCCTCTCTCCACTCACTTATACTCTCTGTAACCCCACACATTCTAATCCTCAAACTCCGAATACTCTGTATAACATTCACTCCATACAGTGTCCTCAGAAGAGACATTTTCATTGCCTCCAGCCTCCTCCTCACTGCAACTTATAAAACCCATGTTTCAGACACATGTAACGGTGCTGGTTCCACTATTCTCAGATACATTTCCTCTTTTGCCTCCATAGATAAAGTTCTTTATCTTCACAAATTCTTCAATACCCTTCCATCCCTCTCATCTATGTTATGGTTCACCTAGTCTTTCATAATAATATTATTAATAATAATACTAATAATATTAGTACTAGCAGTAGTAGCAATAATGATAGTAGCAGTAGTAGTAATAATGGTGGTAGTAGTAGTAGTAGTAGTAGCAGTAGTAGTACTAGTAATAGTAGCAGTAGTAGTACTAGTAATATTAGTAGCAGTAGTAGTAGTAATAGCAGTAGTAGGAGTGGTAGTATATTTATATGATGCAGCAAACCCAAGCGGGTCATTTATCACGAGGAGTGTTGGAGGCTTGATCCACCTGCCAGACACACACCACTCTACCTACCAGGCTTATATTAATACTTACTGTTTCATGTGTGAATTCTGGAGGTTCATCCACAACATCTTCCACTAGCAGTTCGATGTCACAGGTTCCTGCATTACCATCCAAGGCTCCGTACTCATCCCGAGCTTCCACGGTGCAAGTGACAACAGGATTCTCTTCGAAGTCCAGCTTCGCTACCAGCGTCACACTCCCAGATGTATCGTTAATATTAAGTTCTGGACATGACTTTAGCGAGTACCTGAAAATAAGTAACGGAAATACAACAATTAGTAAACTACCACGCAGCATATGGTAGAACTATCATACACGTATTGAAACTATTAATACACGACATTCAGGGTAATTATCGTTCTACGTTACGGCACTCTAAATGATACACTGGCATTTTATCTCATGCTGTAATACTATTTTTTTTTATATTTTATTTAAAAGACATACATAGTACATAAAAATAAACGACAAATTACATAGTGAAAACAGTGATGAAAAATTCTGCATAGTACATGTACTTTCCAATTAACATATTACATCTGAAAGACAAATCTGTACAGTAAACAATGACCACTCCAATCCTTGAAGTAATGACATTATGTCTGGAACACTAAATCTAACCTAAAGACTCCTTGGCAAGTACATCTCATTCCTGATTGTACATCCTGCCACGGAATGTACACCTTACATTGTACATCCTGCCACGGAATGTACACCTTACATTCTGAAAACACTACCCCCCCCCCCCCTTCTTGCATGTCAATCCACCTGACACGTAACAATCTTTATATGTAACTGTATACTGTATGAAATACTTTCATTATTCCATATTGAACAACATGATACGTTCAGTATCACTCAATGTATTGATATAATATAAAATTCAATTCTACATGAATCATGTACAACGTATATCTACTAAACACCCAAACATATCACCTTCTCCAGGAAGTTATAAATATATACATATGTTACATACACTTTACAACACAACCAGTGAAACTACAAAAACCTAATACTATGTCATCCATCAATTACCCTATAATATATATCAATTCAATGGTAACCTAAACCTACGGGCTCTATAGAGCTCCCATGAAAAAACAATATGTATTAAGAAAACAGGATAAGTCAAGCTTTCTAAAAATATTTCACCCATATCATTAAAACCACTACTAAGATGTAAGTCTGTTAGCACAAAACATAACAGTGCATGACCTTCACACGTCGATAAATACTGAAGCCTTCCTACCACACGCAATACTTCATGTGTATATATATATTTCGCATTCACACAGTGCACCCACATTGTCATTTCATTACACACATACCAATAATTTCGTTGCAGATATATAATTTTCCATCACATTACGACGTCTGTCGTCCTTTGTCATTAGCATAATTAATAATTAAATTGAAGAACTTGTATAGTTCACAACACACAACCCGCTCATCACACAGTCAAAGGCACTTATGTCTCAGTACTATATTCATTCTCTTCCACACTAAACCCTTTCACACTGTCCTTATCGGGAAGCCAGCCCGCCGCGACCTCTTACATTGCACGTAAATCCCATAAATCCCTCAACCGAAAACTCCGATAGCCCTCAGTAAAAGCAGTCTCCCAACTCCCTCCGTAAATTTCCCTATTACGACACTTAGTTCTGTAAAATGTCGCAACTAACACCTTTATCCTCTCATCCACGCCCACCTCCCTCATGGCCCATGACGTATATATAAAATCCGTGACCAAATACGCCACTGCATTCTCCACCATCTTACTCACCCCACCTATATCCAAACTTAAAGCCCGCAACACCTGCAACCCCCACCCACTAACCTGAACACCTTTCCTAACCAGACCCGCACAACTTCTATACAGTCACAAAAATATACCGCATGCAAAATTGTCTCCATGCTTCCACACGCTCTACATTCCCCTCCCTCCCTTATCCTCCTATTGAATAGGACAACCCCAGACGGCAAAATCCCATGTAAAAATCTAAACATTACCTCCCGAACACCCGGTTTTACATGTAATTGTTTTAGACGCGTCCATATTTCGTTCCACGCATACATAGGGTATGCCTCTTCAACAGCAGCCACCACTGACCTACCTTCCACTCCTTCGAGGACCCGCAATTTAACACACGACGGATCCCTCACTGTCATTAATAACCTCAACATGGCCTCACCAACTATTAAATCCCCCCCCCCACCACCGTTGCATATCCTTACGTACTCGCACAAGTCCACCTCCCCTCCCGCCCCCCTCCCTTATATAACTTCGTTTTAGGTACACGCTCATCATCCTTTTTTCCAGATTCAAAGTTTATTCTCTATAAGGATTACAATGCTGAGTTTACAGAAATTTGGTTATTGTTTGGTTTACATGTAGTAAAATTGTGATTACAGAGTGTACCACTAGAACGCTTAGCATGGCTAGCATTTCGGCATACTTAGTTTTATTCTTAATTGTAAAATATACTAATTATGAGGTAAGTTGGCATTATGGCTAAGTGACTAAATACTGTTTGTGAGTTTAGCAATGTGAATGCTTTGTGTTTGGCACAATATATAGTTTCAGTATTGGAGTAATCACAGGATTCATTATTTTAAGACTGAGATTAATATTTCTGTTTATGGTCAAATGAGTGAGCGAGTGTAAGTGTGAACCACCAGGTGGTATTCGTGTAGTTAGTTGACGGGGTGTATCAGGGAGATAAGATGTTTTCTAATGGTAGTTTTTGAAGGTGATGAATGTGTCTGCAGTTCTAGAGTTCTCAGGTAGGGTATTCCAGATTTAGGGCTTTGACATACATTGAATTTTTGTAAAGGTTTAGTCGGACACGGAAAATGTCGTAGAATGTTTTGTTTCTGGTGTATGCCTGTGGGTTCTGTCACAACTATCAAGAAAGCGTTTTAGGTCAAGGTTGATATTAGAGTTTAAGGCCCTGTAGATATAGATTGCACAGTAGTAAGTGTGGATGTACTGAACTGGGAGTAAGTTTAGATCTTTGAAGAGTGGGGGGGGGGGTGCTGCCAGGGATGGATTTAGTGATTATTTCTTACTGGCACTTTTTGTTGGGTTATTATTGGCTTTAGGTGTGTTGCTGCAGTTGATCCCCAAGCACAAATAGCATAGGTGAGGTATGGATAAATAAGTGAGTGGTATAGTGTGAGAAGGGCATTTTTGCGGCACGTAGTATCGTATCTTGGAGAGGATCCCAACCGTTTGGATACTTTTTGCTATATGCTGGATATGGGTGCTGAAATTCAGTTGTTGTCAAGGTATAAGCCTAGGAATTTTTCCCCCATTATTTCTGGTAATTAGTGTTGTCAATCTTAATGTTAATTGTGCATCTCCTGCTCTGCTACCAAACATAATATAGTAAGTTTTGTCAGTGTTAAGCGTAAGTTTATTGGCTGTCATCCAAGTCGATATTTAATCAGCTCCTCATTCACAATGGTGTTGAGGGTGCAAGATTAGGGTGAGAGATGACATAAGTCGTGTCATCAGCAAAGAGAATGGGTTTCAGGTGTTGGGATACGTTTGGAAGGTCATTGATGTATATGAGGAAGAGCAGGGACCAAGGACACTTCCCTGCGGAACTCCAGTATCAAGTGGCCGTGTTGCTGATGCTGTGCTTAATGGTGACGTACTGATACCTATTAGTAATGTAAGATTTGAAATAAGCAAGCGCATGGCCTCTTATACCGTAGTGGTCAAGTTTGTGGAGTAGGATTTCCGTGGTTTACTGTGTCAAAAAGCTTTTCTTAGGTCAATAAAAATTCCTAGTGGATATTCCTTATTTTCCAATGCTGTGTAAAGCAGATCTAGCATTTTTATGATTGCATCATTAGTGCTTTTATTTTTCCTGAATCCAAACTGGCAGGGGTTGAGTATGTTTTGAGCCGTTATAAATGAATACAGTCTCCTGTGCACGAGTTTCTCAAAGATTTTTGGATAGCAATGGTAAGTTAGATATTGGCCTATAGTTGTTTAAGTCTGTAGGGTCACCACCTTTATGTATTGGTGTAACCCTTGCCATCTTGAGTAGTTTCGGGAAGGTGCTAGTCTCTATTGACTTGTTAAAAGGTAATGAAATAGCATGCGAAAGGACATGGGCCGCTCGCTTGTACAGTAATGGTGGGACATGAGACAGATTTCCCCGAGTTATTTTTAAGTGACTTTATGATCTCAATGACTTCCGTGGCTCAGTTGGTGCAAGATAGAAGGAATTAGGGAAATTTCCATCTAGGTAGTCCCCGCATGGGCATTGGTATGTGGATTTTACTGGCGAGATTAGATCCTATGTTTGAGAAGAATCGTTTATCTTGTTAGCTGTGTCAGTGGGATGTAGTGGTGTTTCATTAGGTTTAGTTAGACAATATTCTTGGTTTTCTCAGTTTGTGGGTCACTAGAATCTGAGAGAGTGTTTTCCAGGTCTTTTTTATATCTCCTCTAGTGTCTGTGAATCTACTGTAGTATAGTTTGTTTGGCTTTTTTATTACTTGGTGAGAGCTGATGAATAGTGTTTAAGAGTATCTTTGTGTATTAAGCCCTGTCTATATTGCTTTTCATATTGGTGTTTCTTGTCAATTGATTTCAGAATGGTGCTGGTTAGCCATGGGCAACCAAGCCGTTTGTTTGTGATCTGTTTATGTTTTTTATAGGACAATGTTGTGTGTATAGTCTAAGTAATTTGTTAAGAAAAATGTCTGTCCAGTCATCAATACCCATTGGCCTTGGAGAATTCTGTAGGCCAATCAACAGTCTCTAGGTACAGCTGTGAACTTCCTTACTGAGCCGTCGTCATGGAGTCTAAATGAGACTTTGTTGAATTCAAGTGTGGTTTACTAATGTTTGTCAGGAGGAAGGTAGGGTAGTGGTCTGTAGTGCTATCTGTGATTATCCTGATTTAAGGGGGCTAGTATATTGGTCCATATGTGGTCTATTAGGGTTGCACTGTCCTCAGTGAGCCTGGTTGGTTTAGTTATTGTTGGTATGAGAAATGTGTTTGATCATATTGTTGATGAAATCAGTTACAGGCTGATCATCTAGTAAGCCAAGGTTGATGTTGAAGTCTCCAGCTAAGAGAAGGTGGTGCTTATTCATTTGTCTGTTTGTTATTAGTGACTTTAATTTCTCACTGAAATTTGGGATGTTTGTGTGAGGTATCCGGTAAATGGCACCGATTGTTATAGGCGTCTTAAGGTTTTTTACAGTAAAATTAGCAAAAATGTATTCCCCATATTCATCACTAAAGCAAGTGGTGCTGAGACAAGATAATTGGTTAGAGTAATAGATTGCAATACCACCCCCAACTTGGTTTGTTCTGCAGTTGTGAAGTCCCAGCCCTCCTCGACTGACCGGAAGTGTTAACACCGCTCTACTTAACCATTCGCAGCCCGATCCCCATATAAACCTAAAAACCCCATGTTGTAAACGCTTCACCTCACGTCTCATCAGCGGGTACATGACAACTACATGCCATATCTTGCTGTACAATAGCACGTTCGTCACTATTACTCTTTGATGCAGCGTTAGTTGCGCCGCCCTCAAACCACCAAGTCTTTTCAATACTCCATCCACTATTCTCACCAAATTCACCTCTTGAGCCACACGTGTATTTCTCACAAATTATCCCACATATCATTAGTTGATCCACCACCTTCCACCCACTCCCTACCACCTCATCCCCATTTGTACTATCCCTTAGGTCTAGAAACTTAGTCTTCTCAACATTAATTTTCATACCTGAAGCCTCCCCAAACACATCCACCACCTTACCCACCCTAAGCAAATCCCCATTACCTCTCACCAAAACAGTCGTGTCATCCACATAACCTACGATACCAGCCCCCCCTCCCCCCGGTCAGTACCCTCCCCACCTCCCGCAACACACCTCCGAATGGCCCTATAAAATGGATCCTGTATACACGCAAACAATATTTGTGATAGTGGGCAGCCTTGACGCAGTCCCCGTCGCATCTGTATTTTAACTCCTAGCCTCCCGTTAACCTTGTAATACTATTACCACGAACACGGCCTTTTTCCAGTGGATCTTCAGTGCTGGTCTTGCAATGTATCAGTTTATTCCTCATCTCTGACTGCCGTTGAAAGGCAGTCAGGGATGAGGAACAAGGAGTACGCTTGATAGTTTTACTTCAAGAACTGTTTCAACCATCGTATGTACTATTGTGATGTACTGGTTGGGGAGGTCAGTCTCTGACCTCAGTTGACCTATATCACACTATTATGCAAAACGCCTGTGAAAAAATAGTGAACACCCAAGCGCTTTCGTAACTTCTCACATTATCAAGAACCTGTAAAAATAATAGAACAGCAGAAGGTTTATGAGGCTGAAATATCACCTAACATACGACATTACACCCATCCCAGACGGGTGTAAATACTCCGCACCAACTAATCAATGTTCCTACCTGATACTCTCTGTTCCATACTCGAGCGAGACATCGCTATCGGTCGCAGACACTGTGGTAATGAAATAACTGCTATATTCGGCTTCTGGAACTGTAAAACTGGACGGTGTACAGGTGGGTGTGTTATCGTTGATGTCAGTCAGGGTGATAGAAATTGTGATGGAATGGCGGTGAGCCGAATTCTTGGTCTCTTTGGCAGTGACCTGGGAAGACAAGTTGACATCAATGAATTCTTCACTATGTTGCATAATATTGCAAATATTTACTGATTGTTTTTCCCCCTAATTTAACTGGACATTGATAAACCATTAGATGAGGAAGTTTTAAGTAATATTATTGATATTTTAAAACACGTACATTGGGAAATGATAATAATAATAATACCGGATAAACTTACTGTGAAGTCCAGCTGCGAGTCTTTGTGTTGTTCATAATCAAAGTTTTGACCATGGTTCCAGACAGCAGTGAGAGTAATGGTTGTGTTACCTCTGCTGTCTGTTGGACTAACCTCGAGACTGTCGCTGTCAGTGGATAGTGTATAGTGACCATTTTCACCCTGAAATATGCAGGCAGTACTCTAAATAATTTCTTTGCATGAAAAAATAATATATCACATGAATCACAGTCCAATTTTTGTAGATATTGAAGAGAAATTCATAAAGAATATAAATATATTTTTGATAAGTACAGCACATGGAATAATAAATAAGGATTTGGAGAGTACAAAGTTAGACAAAAATCCATGTATATGCAGTAAGAGGTGTATATTTTAATATATATAATGTATAATCTTGAGATTATTGAAGAACTTTGGGGGAAAGGAATCACAAAATCACCTAATTTTAATATCATGGCATTGCTTAAATAACGGTAACGAAGTCACGATCCACTAAGCTAAAATAATGTAGATTTAAGCTAGACTAAATGTGAAAAATATTTAGGAGTTCCAGTTAGCAGAAATTTTAAACCAAGAGAACAGGACATAAATATTCGAAATAAACCTAATATGACTCTTGGCTTCATATCTAGAAGTATAATAAAGGTCATTTTTAAGTTTATATATCTGTCATTAGTAAGCCCTCATATAAATTATTCTGCTCAGCTCTGATCTCCATATTTCAGAAGAGACATAAATACCCTGGAAAATATAGAAAGATAACGAAGTTGATCCCATGTATCGTAAGGTTCAGAATTTTCACACTGAAAAAACGTAGAATTAAGGGGATATGACTGAAGTGTACAAATGGGAAACAGTAATAAATGAAAGGTATCTAACCAAGATAAAACTCACAGCAGTGACTTCATGTTGGATAA